AACTTTAGCAATTTTTCCTAAGGAACTGTATGTCTATAGAAAATTATAGCTACGACAATTTATAACATGGAAAACTAGAAAACAATGTAACTGTCCAACAACAGGGTATCATTTAAAAATATGATACAGACGCCTGGGTGGCTCAGTCGGTTAAGCGTCCAACTTCGGCTCAAGGTCATGATCTCATGGTTTGTGAGTTTGAGCCCCGTGTTGAGCTCTGTGCTGACAGCTCAGAGCCTGGAGCCTGTTTCGGATTCTGTGTCTCCTTCTCTCTCTGCCCCTCCTCCACTTGTGCTCTGTCTCTCTCTGTCTCTCAAAAATAAATGTAAAAAAAAAATTTTGTTTTTAATATATGATAGTAGAAATTTTTAGTTCTTTTTAAAAACATTTCTATTGAAGTATAATATAATAAAGGGTTTAATTCTCAAGTGTAACTAGTACTCAGACCAACATAAAGAACATTGCCAGGGTCCATAAATATTTTCCTCATATTACCTCCCGGTCATTAATGGCCAAAGGTAACCACTAATTTTTTTAATATCACCATAGATTTATACATTCATTTTTGAACTTTTTTTTAATGTTTATTTATTTTGAGAGAGACAGAGACAGAAGAGACAGAGAGTGCACACATGTGCACAAGCAGGAAAGGGGCAGAAAGACGGAGAGTCCCAAACAGGCTTTGTGCTGTCAGCACAGAGCCCAATGTGGGTCTCAAATCATAAGATCATGACCTGAGCCAAAGCCAAGAGTCTGATACTTAACCGACTGAGCCACTCAGGTTGCTCCCATTTTTGAACTTTAAGTAAATAGATTCTTATCATATATACTCTTTAGGTCTAGCTTCTTTTGCTTAACACTATGATTTCAGATTCTTAAATACAGCAACAGTTCATTCTTTTTCACTGCTCTATATTATTTCAAAAAATATTTATTCATTTTACTACTGATTAACATGTAGGTCACTTCCACTTTTGGCATTTAAAATAATTCTGTCATGTCTGCTGGTGTACATGGGCAGGTATTTCTGTTGGGTCTATAGTAGGGGTGAACAATCAGATCATAAAATATAGTAATTTTTACTGTAAATGCTTAAAAATGCAGACAGTAATGCTGAACTTCAGGGTTTAGATGTACATTCTCTGGTCATTGACCACATCTAGGTGAACAAAGCCCCAAGGATGCAGCACAGAACTTGCAGAGCTCAGGGTCGGATTAACCCATACATGAACTCTCCCTGACACATTGAGATGATCCTTACTGAAAAACAGCAAAGTATTCCTAAATCAGAAGAGGTGGTTGCACCAAAGAAAAAGATATCCAAGAGGAAACTGGAGAAACAAAAACTTGTGGCCCAGGAATAAATTCAGAATAAAATAAATGTTTAAAAAAATAGCTTTTGGGGCGCCTGGGTGGCGCAGTCGGTTAAGCGTCCGACTTCAGCCAGGTCACGATCTCGCGGTCCGTGAGTTCGAGCCCCGCGTCAGGCTCTGGGCTGATGGCTCGGAGCCTGGAGCCTGTTTCCGATTCTGTGTCTCCCTCTCTCTCTGCCCCTCCCCCGTTCATGCTCTGTCTCTCTCTGTCCCAAAAATAAATAAACGTTGAAAAAAAAAATTAAAAAAAAAATAGCTTTTGACCATTTTTAATTGGACAGTCTTTTCTTACTCATTTCCAGAAATTTATTTATCCTAGAATAGAGTCCCTTTCCAAATATATTTATTGCAAAGGTCTCCTCTTAATCTGTGGCTTAACTTTCCATTCTCTTAATGGTGTCTTTTGATAAAGAGAAGTAATTAATCTTAATTTTTTAATGTTTATTTATTATATAGTCTCCCATGGAGTAGCCTAGAAGTTTCACTTTTTTCCTCCCCAAAGTTTATTTATTTATTTATTTTGAAAGAGAGAGGGAGAGAGGGAGAGGGAGGGAGAGAGAGAGCACAGGCACATACATTGAGTGAAAACAGGGGAGGGGCAGAGAGAGGGAGAGAGAATCCCAAGCAGATTCCATGCTGTCAGCACTGAGCCTGACTTGCTCTCTCAGGAACAGGGAGATCACAACCTGAGCTGAAACCAAGAGTCCAACACTTAACCAACTGAGTCACCCAGGTGACCCTATTTCACCTTTATACTTACATCTAAAATTCATCTATACTAATCTTTATGCAAAGTAGGAGTCAGCATTCATTATGTTTTTCAAATTGCAGTTTACAACCCACTGTGGTTTATAATACCAACTTAATGGACACCCAGCATGAAAGAAAGAAAGAAAGAAAGAAAGAAAGAAAGAAAGAAAGAAAGAAAGAA